CCGGGTGACACCGACCGCACCGGGTGACACCGTACCCGCTCCACGAAAAGGTAAGTTGTAAAGCAAGTCGACGATCCTCGCAGGATGGATCCGATCCATTATGCTCCCCAATCCGCAGATCCCATCCATCCTGCGGGGATCGTCGGCTTTCTTTACAACTTACCTTTTCGTGGAGCGGGTCACCCCCGTATAGATTGCAAGCCGACGATCCCCGCAGGATGGATCGGATCTGCGGATTGGGGAGCATAATGGATCGGAGTCTGATACATTATGTTCAATCCGCATAATTGGGAAGTTACAATATGGCATCTTTTTGGCTTTGGTTTGGTTAAAGCTTCATGTTCTGTTGAGCATTAGATGTTGGCTTCCCCCGGGGTGGCCGTCATCCTTGAGGCACCACACATGGTGGGGGTGATGGAATCATCATGAGCTCATATGGCGGAGAGATCTTACGGTCAGGAGATCTTACGGTGGAAAGATCTTACGGTGGGGAGATCTTACGGTGGGGAGATCTTATGATGGGGAGATTTTATGTTGGAGAGATCATATGGCGGAGAGATCTTACGGTCGGGAGATCTTACGGTGGAGAGCTCTTATGGTGGGGAGATCTTATGGCGGGGAGATCTTACGGTGGGGAGATCTTATGGCGGGGAGATCTTATGGTGGGGACATCTTACGGTGGGGGAGATCTTACGTTGGGGAGATCTTACGGTGGGGAGATCTTACGTTGGGGAGATCTTACGGTGGAGAGCTCTTACGGTGGGGAGATCTTACGGTGGGGAGATCTTACAGTGGGGAGATCTTACGGTGGGGAGATCTTATGTTGGAGAGATCTTATGGTGGGGACATCTTACGGTCGGGAGATCTTACGGTGGGGAGATCTTATGGTGGGGAGATCTCACGGTGGGGAGATCTTATGGTGGGGAGATCTTACGGCGGAGAGATCTTACGGTGGGGAGATCTCACGGTGGGGAGATCTTACGGTGGGGAGATCTCACGGTGGGGAGATCGATGGTGGGGAGATCTTACGGTGGGGAGATCTCACGGTGGGGAGATCTTACGGTGGGGAGATCTCACGGTGGGGAGATCTCACGGTGGGGAGATCTTACGGTGGGGAGATCTCACGGTGGGGAGATCTCACGGTGGGTTTATCCAGTTCATGTTGTAGGGTGACGCACGGAATATCCTGTCATTGGACAATGGAAGGAAATGCCGCCTTTACAGCTCATATTGTCGACTATGTGAAAGATTTCTGTGACATATAAGATCCACTGACGTGTCTAAAATGTAACTTTTGTGGCTCATTCACAAGGCATGAAATACAGAATGCTGCAGTGCCGTTCAGTCCCTATGACCCCCCTCCCCCTCAAACACATGTGGATGCGCACCATGCACTGCAGAGTGAACGATGACGTCTGTCAGATGAAATATGCATTGCGCACCTAAAGTGAAAGACTTCATTACACAATGGAAGTTCTGAGACAGAACCGACCCAAACCGCCCCGTCCTGACCAACGCCCCACCTTCCTGATATCAGTGCAGAAACTACGACACAACCCACAAAAATAATCACTTCCTCAGATCTCCGCTGCCACCGGGAACCACAAGGTCCCTAATATGACACACCAGCCCAGTCCTGAGCGCACTTCCCGCTACTGACTTCCCGACGGGCAAACCGATTATATCAGCATGGAAAGAAGATCTGTACATTTCTACACTAATGTATCCATCTCCCGTCTGATCGATGTTTATAAACAATGTTACTTTGTATCTCTCCATCTCCCGTCTGATCGATGTTTATAAACAATGTTACTTTGTATCTCTCCATCTCCCGTCTGATCGATGTTTATAAACAATGTTACTTTGTATCTCTCCATCTCCCGTCTGATCGATGTTTATAAACAATGTTACTTTGTATCTCTCTATCTCCCGTCTGATCGATGTTTATAAACAATGTTACTTTGTATCTCTATCTCCCGTCTGATCGATGTTTATAAACAATGTTACTTTGTATCTCTATCTCCCGTCTGATCGATGTTTATAAACAATGTTACTTTGTATCTCTCCCATCTCCCGTCTGATCGATGTTTATAAACAATGTTACTTTGTATCTCTCTGCCTCCGGTCTGATCGATGTTTATAAACAATGTTACTTTGTATCTCTCTGCCTCCGGTCTGATCGATGTTTATAAACAATGTTACTTTGTATCTCTCTGCCTCCGGTCTGATCGATGTTTATAAACAATGTTACTTTGTATCTCTCCGTCTCCCGCCTGATCGATGTTTATAAACAATGTTACTTTGTATCTCTCTGCCTCCGGTCTGATCGATGTTTATAAACAATGTTACTTTGTATCTCTCTGCCTCCGGTCTGATCGAGTTTTATAAACAATGTTACTTTGTATCTCTCCATCTCCCATCTGATCGATGTTTATAAACAATGTTACTTTGTATCTCTCCATCTCCCATCTGATCGATGTTTATAAACAATGTTACTTTGTATCTCTCCATCTCCCATCTGATCGATGTTTATAAACAAATGTTACTTTGTATCTCTCTATCTCCCGTCTGATCGATGTTTATAAACAATATTACTTTGTATCTCTCCATCTCCCGTCTGATCGATGTTTATAAACAATGTTACTTTGTATCTCTATCTCCCGTCTGATCGATGTTTATAAACAATGTTACTTTGTATCTCTCCATCTCCCGTCTGATCGATGTTTATAAACAATGTTACTTTGTATCTCTCCATCTCCCGTCTGATCGATGTTTATAAACAATGTTACTTTGTATCTCTCTATCTCCCGTCTGATCGATGTTTATAAACAATATTACTTTGTATCTCTCCATCTCCCGTCTGATCGATGTTTATAAACAATGTTACTTTGTATCTCTCTATCTCCCGTCTGATCGATATTTATAAACAATGTTACTTTGTATCTCTCTATCTCCCGTCTGATCGATGTTTATAAACAATGTTACTGTGTATCTATCTCCCGTCTGATCGATGTTTATAAACAATGTTACTTTGTATCTCTCTATCTCCCGTCTGATCGATGTTTATAAACAATGTTACTTTGTATCTCTCCATCTCCCGTCTGATCGATGTTTATAAACAATGTTACTTTGTATCTCTCCATCTCCCGTCTGATCGATGTTTTTATAAACAATATTACTTTGTATCTCTCCATCTCCCGTCTGATCGATGTTTATAAACATTGTTACTTTGTATCTCTCCATCTCCCGTCTGATCGATGTTTATAAACAATGTTACTTTGTATCTCTATCTCCCGTCTGATCGATATTTATAAACAATGTTACTTTGTATCTCTATCTCCCGTCTGATCGATGTTTATAAACAATGTTACTTTGTATCTCTCCATCTCCCGTCTGATCGATGTTTATAAACAATGTTACTTTGTATCTCTCCATCTCCCGTCTGATCGATGTTTATAAACAATGTTACTTTGTATCTCTCCATCTCCCGTCTGATCGATGTTTATAAACAATGTTACTTTGTATCTCTCCATCTCCCATCTGATCGATGTTTATAAACAATGTTACTTTGTATCTCTATCTCCCGTCTGATCGATGTTTATAAACAATATTACTTTGTATCTCTCTACCTCCCATCTGATCGATGTTTATAAACAATGTTACTTTGTGTCTCTATACCTCCCATCTGATCGATGTTTATAAACAATGTTACTTTGTATCTCTCCATCTCCGTCTGATCGATGTTTATGAACAGTGTTACTTTTTCAGAAGGTCGATTTTTTTGACAGCAGCACCTCCTTCCACTGGAGGAACATTTTCTACCCCCCACTGGCCACAATACGGCCCCCCTAAAGGCTGAAGGACAGTAAACTGGCCCTTTGTTTTTGAAAAGTTTGGAGACCCTGCAATAGGTGGTTGATAAACTGGGCATGGTGGGCAGCCCCCACATATTTAGAGGTGTGGTCCTGGTGGGACCCGACTCATAAAGTGACCATTTTTTTTGTGGGGGGGCACACCCACACAGGAAGGTGGTCAGGCAAAGGGTCAACTGTGATCCAGGATCCGAGACCATAATGTTGGTAAGCATGCTCTATAACTGGAAGTACCTGAACAAGGCCCTCCATGGCAGGACCTCCATATCAGGACCTCCATGGTAGGACCTCCATATCAGGACCTCCATGGCAGGACCTCCATATCAGGACCTCCATGGTAGGACCTCCATATCAGGACCTCCATGGCAGGACCTCCATATCAGGACCTCCATGGTAGGACCTCCATATCAGGACCTCCATGGCAGGACCTCCATATCAGGACCTCCATGGTAGGACCTCCATATCAGGATCTCCATGGCAGGACCTCCATATCAGGACCTCCATGGCAGGACCTCCATATCAGGACCTCCATGGCAGGACCTCCATATCAGGACCTCCATGGCAGGACCTCCATATCAGGACCTCCATGGTAGGACCTCCATATCAGGACCTCCATGGTAGGACCTCCATATCAGGACCTCCATGGCAGGACCTCCATATCAGGATCTCCATGGCAGGACCTCCATATCAGGACCTCCATGGCAGGACCTCCATATCAGGACCTCCATGGCAGGACCTCCATGGCAGGACCTCCATATCAGGACCTCCAGGTATTATCTAAAGAAAATCTGCAGATTAAAAAATAAAAAAAAATGTGTAAATAATTTTTGAAGCCAATATGACAAAGCTGATCCAGGGTTCAGGACAAGGCGAGGATAACACGTTCTCATAATCACGTTTCTCCCATTAGCTGAAGACTAGACGACCCGAGTGAATGCCGGGAGTCCGACCACACCAGTGATGTCCAAGATCAATGGAGCCTCCATTACACGCAAAGCAATCCGGCGTTCCGCCCCTCCCAGGAACAGCGCCAATCGGTCAGCGGGCACGTCTGTCATCAAGGTATGGTTCCTCCGTGAGCAGATCAGAGCTCAGATCTCTAGTAGAGGCATATCCCCCCTGAATCACATGATATGGAGGGGATTGGAACACCAGAATCACATGATTGGAGGGGAATGGAACACCTGAATCACATGATTGGAGGGGATTGGAGCACCTGAATCACATGATTGGGAGGGGATTGGAACACCTGACTCACATGATTGGGAGGGGATTGGAACACCTGAATCACATGATATGGAGGGGATTGGAACACCTGAATCATATGATTTGGAGGGGATTGGAACACCTGAATCACATGATTGGGAGGGGATTGGAACACCTGAATCACATGATATGGAGGGGATTGGAACACCTGAATCATATGATATGGAGGGGATTGGAGCACCTGAATCACATGATTGGGAGGTTATTGGAGCACCTGAATCACATGATTGGGAGGGGATTGGAGCACCTGAATCACATGATTGGGAGGGGATTGGAACACCTGAATCACATGATATGGAGGAGATTGGAACACCTGAATCATATGATATGGAGGGGATTGGAGCACCTGAATCACATGATATGGAGGGGATTGGAACACCTGAATCACATGATTTGGAGGGGATTGGAACACCTGAATCACATGATTTGGAGGGGATTGGAGCACCTGAATCACATGATATGGAGGGGACTGGAACACCTGAATCATATGATATGGAGGGGATTGGAGCACCTGAATCAATCATGATTGGAGGGGATTGGAACACCTGAATCACATGATTGGGAGGGGATTGGAAAACCTGAATCACATGATTTGGAGGAAATTTGGCAATATAGTGTATGAACCAGGGGCGGACTGACCATTTGGAAACTCGAGCACTGTCTGAGGGGTCAGAAGGGGGCCCCATGAGATTCCCCTGGTACCTTTTTTATAGGCTTTTTTGAGTTTGGGCAAGGACACAGGGGCCCCATGATCCCCTATTGCCTGAGGGCCCCATGAGTTGTCAGTCCGCCCTGGTATGAACTGATTACAGTTCATGGGGGACTATGTTGAAGATGGAAGCATATACACATGAAGTAGAGATGGGACATGTGATCCCGCTGAGGGCGGGGACCATTCTGCAAGGTGCTCAGTGTATGGGACCCCCAACCAGAAGTTCAGGGAAGGGTTGCTGAACAATCCAGGAAGAGTCAGGAAATTTAAGTGATTGTCCACATTTAAAAAAAAAATTTTTTATTGGTTACTTTGAATTCAGATTTGGATTCAGAATAGTTTGTTAATATCCGGAAGGTACATTATGAATATATAAACCAATAAATAAATAAGAGTTCTATAGTAGTTCATAGCTACCAGTAGGTTGCACCATGACGTCATTCAGGGGCTGTAAATATTTTAAGAACGTTTTGGACTTGTCTTTGATTGTTTTAAATGACAAAAAGTCTCGCGTAGCAATTTAATTTTATAAAAAATAATTATTTTTTTAAAAAAAAATGGAGTCTCTGCGTTAGTTTGCCATTTTTTCGATCACACGAACGAACATCCTGGGCGTGTCTCCGCTGAATCCTCTGTCTCTGGATTTGCAGAATATTTGCCTGACGGGCGCCGAGTCCCTGCTGGAGGGCGAGGAGAAGTTCCTGTCCACCTTGTCTCAGGTGAACACGCTGGTCCTGAACACGTTACTGCAGTCCACAGGTAGGAGTCTCATCTCTTGCAGGAAATGTTTCTTTTCGTTTTTCGCAATTGTTTGCTGATGGATTTTCGATTTTATCATTTTTTAATAAATAAGAAGCTTTCATTTCATTAATTCCGATCATTTTTTTTTTTTTTTTTTTGCCTTTTCCAGAGACGCATCACGAGCTCCCCAGCAAAGATTACTCGAAGGGGCTGAAGGTCTTGAATGACAAATTTCACAAAGTCTGGGACCTGACGGCCGGATGTCTCCAAACACTAAGACACGTTTACGGTCACTTGGCGGTGGACGTCCAGGACATATACCTCATGGCGGAGGAGACCAAGTTCATCCGCGTCTACAGCGAGTGAGTGTTCCGTGAACGGGATCCCCGCTTTCTGGTTTTGGGTGGAGTGTGGAGGTGTTGGGTCTTCTCGTTGGGTCATTTATTGCCGTCCTCGTCCCGAGACACAACCGAGAATGTGATGGAATCTTCCCAAAGTGAAGAGACATTCTCTCTTAGACGGTGCTCATTAACCACCTCCCGTCCAGCCCATGTATATAAACGGCCAGACGGTGGCAGTGCAGGGGCGGGTGGACGTTTATAAATGGCCTCCCCCTCTCCCTGCGTGTGCGTGCTCCAAGAGAGCGCACAGCACCGCGATACGGTGCCCGCAGTGTCCTCCTGACACAGTGGAACACCGATCGTCGTACGGGACCTCTGTGTGAGGTCCCAATCATGTGATCACTGATTGGCCAATCAGTGATCACATGCAGAGTAGTAAGCAAGATGTCACTTCTGGCATCATTGCTTACTACTTGTGAAATCTGTGAATGATCACCGAGGTCACATGGTACAGGGCTATTCACAATAGCTTTGCACCATGTGACAAGCTGTGACCAATCACAGCTGACACAGTATTTCTCAATGGCTACAAGAATGCAGCCAGAGAGAAGGAGAGATGATTGATTTTGCAGCCTTTATGGGTGTAAAAGCAATCAGTGTAAAAAAAATAAATAAATCTTCATCACCCCCACAGGTATACACAGTGTCACCATGGTCCTCCATCACTTCAGAGGTCTCCCCATAACACCAGAGGTCTCATCACATCAGAGGTCCTCCATCACTTCAGAGGTCTCCCCATAACACCAGAGAGGTTTCACCATCACATCAGAGGTCTCACCCATCATATCAGAGGTCCTCCATCACTTCAGAGGTCTCCCCATAACACCAGAGGGTCTCATCACATCAGAGGTCCTCCATCACTTCAGAGGTCTCCCCATAACACCAGAGAGGTTTCACCATCACATCAGAGGTCTCACACCCATCATATCAGAGGTCCTCCATCACTTCAGAGGTCTCCCCCATCATATCAGAGGACCTCTGAAGTGATGGAGGGGACCTCTGAAGTGACGGAGGGACTTCTCTGGTGTTATGGGGAGACCTCTGATGTGATGGGGGACCTCTGATATGATGGGGGACCTCTGAAGTGATGGAAGACCTCTGATGTGATGGGGGACCTCTGAAGTGATGGAGGACCTCTGATGCGATGGGGGACCTCTGATGTGATGGAGGAATCTCTAATGTGATGAAGGGCCTCTAATGTAAAAGGGGTACCTTGGATGTGAAGCAGAGACCTCTGATGTGATGGAGGACCTCTGATGTGATGGGGGAGACCTCTGATGTGATGGGAGGACCTCTGATGTGACAGGAAAGATCTCTGATGTGATGGGACAAACCTCTGATGTGACGGAGGGACCTCTCTTGTGTTATGGGGAGACCTATGATGTGATGGAGGACCTCTGATGTGACGGAAGGGACCTCTGATGTGATGGCAGAGACCTCTGATGAGACGGAGGGACCTCTCTTGTGTTATGGGGAGACATCTGAAGTGATGGAGGACCTCTGATGTGATGGGGGGACCTCTGAAGTGATGGAGGACCTCTGATATGATGGGGGAAACCTCTGATGTGATGGAGGACCTCTGATGTGACGGGGAAGATCTCTGATGTGATGGGACAACCTCTGATGAGACGGAGGGACCTCTCTGGTGTTATGGGGAGACCTCTGATGTGATGGAGAACCTCTGATGTGACTGAGGGACCTCTGATGTGATGGGGGGACATCTGATGTGATTGGGGACCTCTGATGTGATGGAGGAATCTCTGATGTGATAGAGGACCTATAATGTAAAGGGGGAACCTTGGATGTGATGGCAGAGACCTCTGATGTGATTGGAGGACCTCTGATGTGACGGGAGGACCCTTGGTGTTATGGGGAGACCTCTGATGTTAGGAGACCTCTGATGTGATGGAGAACCTCTGATGTGATGGGACAAACCTCTGATGTGATGGAGGACCTCTAATGTAAAGGGGGGGACCTTGGATGTGATGGAAGAGACCTCTGATGTGAATGGAGGACCTCTGATGTGATGGGACAACCTCTGATGTGATGGAGGACCTCTGATGTGACGGGAGGGACCCTTAGTGTTATGGGGAGACCTCTGATGTGATGAGACCTCGGATGCGATGGAGGACCTCTAATGTAAAGAGGGGGACCTTGGATGTGATGGCAGAGACCTCTGATGTGATGGGAGGACCTCTGATGTGATTGGGGACCTCTGATGTGATGGAGGACCTCTGATGTGATTGGAGGACCTCTGATGTCACTGAAGGTGATTTCATCAAGGCAGTTGTGTGCCTCACCCCAGGCTCAGGTTCCGATCGGTAAGTAACATTTCTGGCTGCCACAACTGCAAATTATTTGCGATCCGCTCCTCTAGGCCTTGTAACATCACACTCCCCCGGTGCCCAGGTTACCAGAACAATGGGGTTTTTTTTTTGTATTTTTTGGGGGGGGGGGGTTGTCTTTTTTTTTTTTTTTTTTTTTAGTAACCAGATTTTTGTTTCTTTATTTAGATATTTTTCAGCCGTAACAAGTTATGTGGTGATCAGAGGGTTTGAAAAATCAGCGAAGCAGACAAGGTGAGTCTGTAATAAAATACCAAGGTGCCACTCATTCTAACTGCCATTCATTGTGGCAGAATTCTCCAAAGACCGGGAACACCGTGTACACCCCCCGATATAAAGAGCCATTGTTGGCATTCTTGTTGATTTTCCATTAACTTTGCTATCTCCAGGACTTCTCCAGAGCCTCCCCCATCCTCTGGATCTCTCTACCCCAATCTATCCGACTATCGCCTACTCTGCTAACTGTTAGGCGATCTCTGAAAACCGATCTCTTCAGGGAAGCCTATCCTGCCCTCCGCTAATAATGGAATCTTCTACTCCTCCTACCAGTCCATCCCCCACAGTTACTACCTTTTGTACCACTAGCCCCTCCCTCTTAGATTGTAAGCTCCCAGTATCAGTCCCTCCCTCTTAGATTGTAAGCTCCCAGGATCAGGGCCCTCCTATCCCTCTTGTATTGATCTGTATTGTTGCTGTATTGTCTCCCGTTATATTGTAAAGTGCTGAGCAAACCGTATCCTGTATAATAATAATAATAATAATAATAATATAAAATCCTGTATAATAATAATAATAATAATAATATA